TATTATATGTCTAATAACCACTTATAAGTGAGTATATACCGTGTCTGTCTTTCTACTCCTGGGATACCTCACTCAGGAGGATTTTTTCTAGTTCCCACCATTTGCCATCAAATTTCATGATTTCCTTGTTTTTGATTGCTGAGTAGTATTCCATTGTATAAATGTACCACAATTTCTGTAGCCATTCCTCAGTTGAGGGGCATCTTAGTTGTTTCCAGATTCTGGCTATTACAAATAAAGCTTCTATGAACATAATTGAACAATACTGAAACTCATAGCCAAATTCTGGGCAGAGTGCCAGAATCCTTATGGAAGAAGAGAAAGATATAAAGACCTGGAGAGGACAGAAACTACATAAGGAGAAGAACAAAGGCAAAAACAAAACAAAACAGGGCCCAGGGCATCCTTCAGAGACCGATACTCCAACCAAGGACCATGCATGGAAAGAACATAGATCCCCCTGATCAGAGGATGCCCATAGGCTTCTCAGTTCCCAAGTGAGCTCCTTAGTAAGGGGAACAGGGACTGTCTCTGACATGAACCAAGTGGCTGGCTCTTTGATCACCTCCCACTGGGATATATAGCCTTGCCAGGCCACAGAGGAAGATGATCCAGATAGACCTGATGAGACCTGATAGGCTAGGATCAGATAGAAGGGGAGGAGGACCTCCCCTATCAGGGGACTAGAGGATAGGGTGAGAAGACAGAGTGTGGGTTGGACTGGGAGGAGATGAGGGAGGGGGCTTTAGAGGGAATACAAAACAAACAAATTATAATAAATAAATAAATAAATAAATAAATAAATAAATAAATAAATAAATGCAATTAAAAAAAAAATTCCCTAGGGCTTCACAGAAAAGATGCTGTCCCAGGGTTAGATGCTTGGGCTCCAGAACCAAGACACCAGTGTCCTGTACTGTATGTCCTTGTTATTTCAGTTTCTTGCCCCAGCTCTGTCAGCTTCATGCACAACAGAGGGAGACCACAAGGAGCTGGAACATGAGAACCTGTACAGCATGTGAAGGGCAGTCCTGGACTCCTGCTGAGGTGAGCATCCTGAGTACTATAACAACTGCTGTTTATGATCTTGGCAATTATACAAATGTGTCTTCACAGGGTATGACACTCTACCAACTTTCACTTTACTGGACATTATGGTTGATAGTAATTTATAGTTTCACCAACTCTAAAAATTATCTTTTCATTCATTGGTCATAACACTTTTGAAAAGTGTCTCAGTCTTCTTCCCAAATGAAGACAGTCGTCAATTATTCTGACACAATAATGACCATTAATTACATGTTTACAACTCTAAGAACTGTCTTCTTTAAGACCTGTATCTTTTTGTATCCTCATGTTTCAAAACTATTTCCAGAGATGTATCCCAGCAAGAAACTGTGTCAAATGAGATGATCTATTCTAGAGCTTTCCTCATCCTTGATGCTTAAACCAGAACTCACCAAGGTCAAGCACAGGCAAGTGCTAATTAAGTGACCACTTGCTGACTTGTACTTGGTACTATTTATGTTAATTCACCTAAAGATTCTTTGAATCAAAAGATTTTCAGCTTATTAGTCTAACCTAAGTTCCCAAATAATTTTTAGTCGTGTAAGTGGACGACTTACCGTGACAATTTCCCTTGATCATAATGCCTTTATTTCATTTGAAACAACCACAAATATCTCCAGTTAATGCATTAAATATGAAAGTGCTTGCTGAAGAGACTCAATTTATTAATGATTCGGGAAAACTTCCTAAAACATCTATTTGGAATTCATTTATAATTTATTTTGCAGCTTAGTTTCAGCTCCCACGGGGCAAATATTTTTCAAGTATTACTGTTTTAAATCCCTCCTTTGTATTTTCTCACAGACGGATATTCTTTGCCCCAGAATATATTCTAAACTTCCTTAAAGCACCCATCCATCTAGTGTAGTTTAATGTGCATTTCCTGATAAGATGACAGTAATGGGCTTTCGGATATGGCAGACTGTAGTGCGCGGCCAAACAGAAGAATAATTACTAAACATAATGGCTGGCTCTAAATTGAACAAGAAGCACCGAGTCCATCATAAATATTTATTAGAGAGTAACCATGGTAATTAATAAGTCCAGTCATCAACATAAGGGAAGAAATGTCACCTTAATATCCAATCATGGTGAGTAAATCCTCACAACTGACCTCCTGGAGAGACACAGTTGGCCAAATGTATAGTCTCAGGATGAAACCCAGACATCGGCCTGAGAGGAGAGTGAGATGAAAAGACTGAATGTGGCTGCTGACCACATGTCCCTGAGGCAGGGGCGATGTGAGGTCTCTAATCCCGACAGCCGAACCCTGCTGGTGGCTAACGTCAATGTGTAGAAAACCTTGGCTCGGGGTCTAGCTCTCTGAAACCATGTTCGTGTTACTTAAGCTCTCTGCATCAGCTGCAGAGAGACAAAAACTTCTTAGACGAGTTGTTATGAAGACAGAGCTGTGGTAGTGTGCTGGATGAAACACAGAGCCTAGAGCCCAAAGCAACGTGCACATTCACCCACGAGTGAATGCTCTGCTGTTGCAGTCTCCACAACACTCGGAACTTTTGCCACTGCCTCCATCCACTGCGGTCCTTCTCTCTATTGCTGTAATACCAGAGCAGTCACATTACCAAATTAGCCATTACGTGAAGAGAGGTAGAACAAGAGGTCAAACCCACATCAATTTATTGTACTTCTCGGCAGATTCTGCAGAATTAGATTTCAGACAGAAGATTGGCTAGGGAAGGACGGAGAATGAGCAAAGAGCTTGCACATATTCAACGGATAGTCAGGACCCCAAAGTACAATCGCTGCTACCCCTCCTCACTCCTCCATTTACATGGATATTGTCTACTATGGACCAGTAATTAAAAAGTATTAGGAAGACACCGCGTTTGCAGGAGAAACACCATGGAATGGGGTGATCAACACATCATGACGAATGTAGGAATTATTGAGAAAAGAGATCAAAAGGCTTCAATTACTTCCCCTTCTCCCAAAGACCTTCAGCCTCTGTATACAAGAGTTCAGAGAAAACCCGACCCTCATTTTAATATCTCCACTCTGGAGGGGCATTAAGGAATGGATTTTGAGTTGATACTTTTGATCCTCGTGTCTTCTTAGAAAATGGTCAGTTCACAGATCTCTCCTGTACCTTACAGGGCAGGACAAGTACTTACACTTTGGCAGGGATTGCTGAAGGAAGGCAGAGTGTAGGGGCTTCAGACAAGTTCTGTCAGAAAACACAGGCAGCAAGAAAGAGGCAAGAGCTGGGTGTGAGACCTCAAGACATTTAAATACGTTCCAGCACTGGTACATTTTGATAAGCTGCTTGATATGTAAGATGGCTACATGAATAAACATATTTAACTCTAAAATCCAAAAGGCCTTCTATTATGCTCAAATCATAGAGATAACAATTATGGCTTTAAAACTTTCACAGGTACTACATTTTCTTCAATTCTTTTTCCTCCAATAAGGAGAAACGATTTCCATAAATGAAAAAGAATAAGGAGAAAAATAAAATGTTGTTTCGTAATGATCAGCTAAGTGTTCAAAAGATTTTAAAAACTCAGCACTGAAATGGTAAATGAGAATATAATAAATTCACCCAGAGAGATAAATTTTTTAAATTATATTTTAAGATAATAAACATGTTAATTTAATATGTTTACATATTAAGCCAGCAACAAATGATCTAGTGCGAACCAGAATACATTTCTTAGGAGTATCAACAAATAGTCCTTTAATAAAAATCTAGATCATTTTTATGTTACTAAAATTGAAATGCAATAAGTTTACAATGTAAGCTGTTAACTAAACATGACAGTTGTAAATGTGAAACTGTGGCAGAGCCAATGTGATAAGCAATATACTTCAAACCTTGTGCCAGGAAGGAAACAATGATGAGCCAAAATGAAGCCGTGACTATTACACTTAAAATAAAATTTAAGACATAATGTTGCCAAAGCATTATGGGAGACAACAGCTACTTGGTTCCTGAACACACTTGTTATTTTATTCATCTGAAAAACAAATAGCCCTGCCATGTGCGCTCCTGATAATCGCTGGAAAAGCCCCACACTTGTCTCTGAATTCCACCGAACTCATGAACCTGTAACTGTATAAAATGAATTATTCAAATTAAAGATAAAGCAAATGAAATAAGATTTCATTTAAACTGCATCAAACTGACATCAAACAAATACGTTTTTAATACAATGCCTATTAAAATCAGTTTACTTCGCTGGCTTTATTACTATGAAAACAAACTCTGCTTGGATGGAAAATTGTTTTTAACTGTTATTCCTTACAAGATATAATTAAGCCAAGCCTGACAAATGCTTTCTGCTCTCTGCATAAAAAAGACCAAATGATTTCCTCTCAGGAAAATTTCATTTCGAAGGCTTGTCTTCAACAAGGACAAGGTGCAAATCTGTTCAACGTCTTGGTTTAGCTCTAACCTTTGGCTACAGTGACCAAAGCGGTTTCTGTTTTCTTATATCAAAATCAGAAAACAAAAACTCAAAGAAACCATGACAATAATTTCAATGAAAACTTGTTAATGGAAACAAAAAAAGACAAAATCTTTTTTTTTTTAAGAAAAGAAGAAGAAAGAACTTACAGAATATCCAGGTAGAAATGTCTTAGAGTCTTCCATAGTAATGGTTTCTAACCCAGAAACTGCCTATTTCACATACAAACACCCAAAGTCGTGCAGAGAGAATGGAAAGCAGGTGGAGGTTTGAAGCAGCATCCTGTATCTAGACTCTCGCTAGCTACCCAGCCTCCAGCATCAGGGAAGCTGTTAGCTTGCATCCTCTACTGGCAGAGGGCAGTCACTGAGGCCAGATCCATGATGGCTCTTCTCACAGAAAACTACTCTGCATCAGATTTAAAAACGGGGGAAGGTGAAGGAGATGACAAGATGAAGGAAGCAGAGTAAATACGGGGGGTTGGAGTAGAAAGCGAAGACGTACCTTTACCCTGTGGTCATCAGCATCCACAATGGTGGCGACACGAATTAACCGTGGATTCCGCTTGTCCACAGCTTCCAGCTTCATGTTTGGCAAAAAGCCGTGTGGAGGCCTCTGCAATGCCACAGAGCAACAAGTCAGTGAAGGGCCAGCAAGTCAGATTCCCGCCGAATTGGCCCCAGCCTCATGGCTGTGGTGCAGGCACAGAGATCTCTAACAAAATTGGGGTTTAATTTTAAGAGTACATGAGAGTTTATGCATATTTTCAAATCAGTGTTATAAAAGCCTTTAAAGACCAAGAAAATTTTTGGCTATTTTAGAGACAGCAACAAAACAAAAAGACAGATACAGTTTCTCACTGCGGTTTTTGTGTTAGCTTAGACTTTTTTTCTGAAGTTAATATAAGCTAAGATACTGCTTGCTGTTCTCACTGCCCACTTAAACTTGTGGAGTAAGAGGCGATTTATTTATTTAGCAAATCACTCAGAAAGGTAAACATGGTATTTTCTAAATTTAACTTTTAGATATTCTGAGAGAAAAAAAGCTGTTTAAACTGAACTTTAAGACTCTCTTAAAATATAATCATGATGAAATTTAAAGCCATGTGCTACTCTTTCACTATTTTACCTATAATATTATGTTTAAGTCTCAAGAAATTGAGACCGAGAGTGATAAAAATAGAAGCAATAAAGAGAATCGAATGGGTAACCAACCCACTGCGAAAATGTACCGGTCGATAGTGAGACTACTCCAGCGGTTTGTATCAGTTAGCCGCAGGCTATCCTTCAGAAGCTATTTCACACGAAAAGTGTTTGGCTGACTTTATGGGAAGCAAAAGTGTACTGAATGCCTCAAGTCTAGCAGTGGCAACAGGCAAATAAAACTCCATTAACGTGTGAGTAATAAATGGTTAAGCCGTTCTCTGGTAGATGGTAAACTTCACCCCAGGTTTATGGAAGTGTATTTTCTCTTCAAAGCGTTGCTACACCTAATAAATGAACTGTGTCAGCATAAATAGGTGTATGAGAAGTTTTCTTTTCTCCCCAAGATCACTGTCACCCACAGGAATTTGATTATTTAGCATCTTAGATATCCAATATATATATTTGTGCTGAATGCAAGATAACCCCAAAACCAAAAGTGCCTTTGTTGCAAAATATTACAATCGTTTTATTTTCTTGAATCTTTCCTTTGAGAAAATCAAATGAAGACTTGGAAAAAGGTAAGAGAGAAGGGAAGCTCCCAAACATTAGGCACCTTTGTTTGCTAAAGCTTTGAAGTCTTTGAAACTCCTGTAATGCCAGGACTTGCAGGTCCTTTCCTCTGTGCGCCTACATCCAGCCGTTACATTTCTTAGGAAAATAGAACAGCTTTGTGTTTCAAATCTTGTCTAATCCCCTGAAAATATTCAATAAATACGATTTATAAATAAATGAGGATACCTAATATATAAAGATCTGATTAAAGATAAACCTTTAAGCCCAGCACTTAAGAGAGAGGTGGAACTCTGTGAGTTCAAGGCCAGCATGGTCTACAAAAAGAGGTCCGGGGTAGAGAGGGCTACATAGAAGTACCTTGTCCCCCCAAAAAAAATTTAAAAAAAAAGTAAAGTTGAGTTAGGAGGATATAGAGTTTGGAAAAGAATAGTATTTTAAAAACCACTGCTTTAGAACACAAATATTTCTAATTTTATCACTTTTGTATGTAACATCTTTTATAAATTAATGTCTTCCTAGTTAAACCCTAAACAAATAGACGTGTGTAAATATGAATTGCAAACATCGGTATTCTCTCAATTGCTAGAACAAACACTGCCCTCATGTAGATAAATCTGTGCTCATTAGACTCCATCCACTATTTCACCTATTTGATTACGTTTATGATCATTATCTAAACAGTCCCTAAGGGGCCACAGGAAGTCCAGAGTTCTCAACACAGTGGGCCCAAAGAAATGGACTTCAGGTTCTCCACCTACAGTGGCTGATGGGGTGCTTCTGGTTAGTGCCTCTGTGTCCTCTGTGACTCTCAATAAAGAACTGTTCTCTATGTTGGAGTTAAGGAGAAACAGCAAATAAGCACCAACTTTGTACCATTAACTGACAGCGAAGCAGGTTGGTTATGAAGTTATCACCTGGACGTAAGAACTAGACCTCTGTAAAGCAGCAGTGGCAGCCAGGCTCACCTGCGGGACATTGTGGAGTCTAGAGCGTGCACCACGGGAACTCACCGTGTTGAAGGCTTTGGCAGGGACTGCCTTTGCTTGAGTAGCTCGCAGGTAGTCTGTCCAGGAAAAGTTATCTCGTTCAGGATAACCTGAGAAAACACACACACACCACACACACACACACACACGTCAGAAGATTTATCACAGATCCCCATGGGCTTTGAAAGCCTACAGTAGTGCTGTTACCTGAAGGCACGTCAGTCTTCTGCTAACCTCTGAGAGGACTAAAGCAAATGTGTGCAAGCACTCAATAACTACTTCATTCATTCACTCCAGGTGGTGTGGCCAGAATTTGGGGGCCCTAAGTGGAATCCCAGGACTCTGACTCCTTAGAACTGAGACAAAACCTAGCATCAGCCATCTGACTTTGTACCATGAACCCGAAGAGAAATTCTAAGACTCTTTCCAACCCTTCTGATAATGCTATGCCTAGTTGCATTCTATTCGTGTTATTAAAACTGTATAACTACAATGTTCCAAAACAGCTGTACTTGTTATTGCATTTTATTTTATTTTTTTTTGGGTTTCTGAGACCGGCTGACACTAAGTAAAGCTAGTGATCGTCTTGTCTCCACCTCCTGAAGGCTGAGACTGTTGGAACAGGCACACACAAAAAGTAGCTCACCACCGATTTTAAAACTATACATAAAAGATGCTCAGACGCATATGTACAAATTCAAAAGTACACGCTTGACATGTTTTAATGAACTGAATTGCAAAGTGTTTATTTTTAGCTCCTTATTTATTAATGAAGGTATTTTATATTATAAGCCTATTTTTGTTGCTCCTGAGTACAGTATTAGAAAACTCTATACAGTTGTATGCATAAAGTGTTCTTTTAGTTTTACTTGTAAAAATTACAATCCAGTTGAATCCTTGTCAATACATGTCAGAGATATTGCAGGTGATGAATACTTGTGTTTAAATATTTAAAATACCGAGTCTAAGAAGGGAATAGGAAGGCATAGGTGATATGAACAAGGGAAACACTAGGGGGTGTTAATTGTGAATTGGGAGGAAGAATAATACAGAAGAAAAGGAAGGGGGGTGGAAGGATAAATAATCCTAAAGACTCTTAAGAAAGACACAAGGAGTCATATTGCTTTATATTTATCTGAAATTATACACAGAGACACACGATACACATACTACACACACATACAAACACACACACACACTATAGGTGATGATGCTGACCCCAAGAGCCATAGACAATCTAACAAATGTCCAGTTCTAGGCATGAGAAATATCCTCTTAAGCTGTTGGTCAGTGGAGTCTGAGAGACTCCAGAAACAGTACAAGCTCTTGCTGCTGTGCATGGTGCCTCCCAGAAGGTGAAGGGAAGTCCCTGCAGCTGAAGATGCCATGTTCTTCAGACCCAGGACTCAGACATGAGGGCTTCTTTCTGGTGTAACAGGGGACCAACAAAAACTCAGCATGTAAGTGTTGAAAGGTTTACAACTGACGTGCAATAATACAATCTGGCTATGTTATTCAAAAATCTTTTTTTTTTTCCTGACAAAATATATGGGATGGTTTGGAACAAAGAAAGGGAATGGGAAATGATATAATTATATTATGGTCTTTAGAAAAACAAAGAAATGTATATATTAAAAAAAAAAAACCTAACATGGTATACTAAGTCTCCATGTACTTCCCTATAATTTTTTGCCAGTGTTGCTGATCATTTTCCTTCATTTTCAAACATCTTATGAAAAACGTATTTAAAGGACATAAGCCAAGTGGACAGCCTGAACATTATTCACAGCCTATGTACGACCAGAGCTAGGTCAAAACAAGTGTGTCCTGGAGAACTACTCATGGGCATCCCTACTATTACTTCCTGATCCTCACCACTCTCCTCCAGAAGACCCACCCTTCCCTGCACCCAAGGGCTGGCTTTGCTAGCTCTGTGTTCCCCAGTGCACAAACACCGTCATGCACCGAGTCCCATGTGTGTCAAATATATGGCACTCTACAGTACTTGGCTAGTATCTGCAGAGTGCATGAAATTCACCTCCCAAGAGGTCATTGGCCTTTCATATTTCGATGCTCAGGAATGACAAATGGGTGAGCTAAGATGATGCTGGAGCACATATCCCTACAGTTCCAAGCAGGACTCCGACGTAAAGGTATCCCCTTTTGGTGCTAGTAGTCTCAGAAGTACCACAGGAACAGGATGGCGTGACTACACCACACTGGCCAGCGCTCCGAGAAGAATGAATCCTGGATAGTGCTAATTGATCACCATCTGACTGGAATTGAGAAGGCCATACAAATAAGGGAAATGTAACAGTTGGATGCTTGTTCCCCATCAGGAAGTTCAGAATATGGGTAAGAGCAGCTTCAAACCCTTGATAAGGGGACCCTTGACTATCTTCACCAGACACTGAAGCAGAAACGTAGTTTGACCCCTGTAACCCTGTAACATTCATCTCAAAGTTCTCGAATTATAGGCAGCAGCAGTCCTTACAGGCCTAACATCCTGGCCTCGGTGAACTTCCCATAGAGAAGTATCATAACCACCATTATACTTATAAACAATGAAAGACTCAAAAATCATAGGTATGCTAGGCAATGTTAAAACGATGGACAGCAGTTCAATTTAACAACCAGAAGAAAAAGGGATCTTCTAATAAGGTGTGGGTCCAATCGGGATAAAGGAAATACAGACCACGTACATGGATGTTGAATGCACATTAAAACCAGCCAGTCATCCCAATGGCATGGACCATAAATAACGCCAAGGCATCATACAAGTAAATGAAGCACAGTACGTTCTGCTTCACACAAAGACACCAAGTTTTGTTCTGAGCGAGAGAGGCCTGGCATTTTACGTGACTTATCCAAAAGAAAACAGCTAAAAGTGAGATCAAAGCTGCAGCTCAGGCCTCCTGACCTGCTGCTTTGAGGCTTACTGAGTGCTGTTGCAACCCCTGTTCAAGAGAAATTACTAAGAAATCAAGGGTTATGTGTCTAGTAGCAACTAAGCTCTGAGCTGGCTTGTCTCAATATCATAACAGGCTGGATTATCAAAAAATGCCCAGAGGACAGCACTTATTCATTGCTCTGTTTTGGATCTTGAATGGAACTAAAATGAAGTAGGTCATCCCAGCATCCAGGTCTTTAACAGGAGAGCTGTTCCAAACAGAAAGTGGCACTCTACAGAAGTCAGCCTCTCCCTCCCTCCCTCTCTCTCTCCCTCCCTCATTCTCCCTCTCTTTCTCTCTTTGTCTCTCTGTGGGGGAGGGGTGAAGCTGTTGGAGTGGGGTACTTACTTACCACACCTCAAGTGGCGATTGCTGTGACCCCGTGCCAGGGCTGTAAGATCTAGCATGCAATTTCAGATGCCTTAATCCCTACAAAGTCTCCTTCAGATCCACTTTGTTCTCTGAAGTAGCAAACAAACGTTAGAACAAAGCTCTCATAATTACAGCGCCACTGATGTCAAAATTCTTGTTCGCATATTCAACCCCACACAATTAAAGGGGTGGGAGGGGAGACTTTCTAACAAAATAACCAAAAAAGACTGACCACAGGCTATCAGTTCTGTCACCTGGGCACCCATAACTCTTTGATGTTTCAATTGGAGAACTGTGCCTCTGCCTTTTGTCAAGAGAGACATTTTGTTATTTTTTTCTGTTTTGTTGTTGTTTGTTTGTTTGTTTGTTTTTAAAGATAGTCTTACATGTAGCCTGGGCTACCCACAAACTTCTAGCCATCCTCCTGTCTTCTGAGTGTTGGTATGGGTATAGAGCAACGTGTCCAGTTCGGAGAGCTCACTTTGCAATTGTTTTGCTCAAAACCTGCAGCTGAGTTTAAATCGATGCAGAATATATTATGTAAACAAAATAACACAGCTCTGTGTCTAGCGAAATCACCAGCAACGAACGAGTCTGTATCGCTTTCGATCTCCCTTGTGCTTGCTGTAGCCTGCTGTCTGCTTTCCAGGGGTTATAATGACTCAGGACCAGGTAACCAGCATCCCAGGTCTCTTCCCCCTCAACTTTGAATAAAACCTGTAGTTGTTTTGCCTTTCTTTTCACCTCTCACTAACTACAAAATATTTGACTCCGAGTTACTCTCCGACTGCCCGACTATTCCCTTATGTCATTGTTTCATTGTTCTCTGCACAGCCGCAGGCCCCAGCCACTCTTCACACTTATCCGATGCTCACTTACTAGATTTTTTGATGATTAACTAATCCCTGACTACCTCCGACAACACATTTGGGAACTAGCTTATTACCACCAATACAATAGTTCTTTGAGTGATAAATAATTATTACATTTTAACACATTTTAAGACATTTCTTTTTATATGAATCTTGCCATTGCAACTCATCTCTACATGGAAATTGTGAAATAGTTACTGACTACCAACAGTTTTCTATATGTTGTTCAAATATCTGACCTATCTCAGCCGCCTGGTGATTGTGGAGATATAGAGAAAGGACTGCTGTTATTCCTGGAGAGTAAATTATAATGTCTTCCCTGGTTTCAAAGATGATAGTAACAGTCTAAGGAAATAACCCTAACTCAGCATTCATTGATAAACTTCAATGTTCAACTTACAGTTTTTAAATGCAGAAATAAACATACACTCTCACTGTTCCTTTCTAAATGTAGCCAAATATCAATAATACATTTACATTTTTTCTTATGTTTTCATGTATGTATTTATGTGAGTGTATGGGAGGGTGGGGTTGCTTAGAAGCTGCCACATGTGAGGTCAAATATCAACTTGTGATAATCAGTTCTCCTTTTCTACCTTTTGAGAACACAAGATGGAACTCAGGTCGCCAGCCTCGGTGACAGGTGCCTTTGCCTGCTGAGCTAGCCAGCTAGCCCCAGTAAATGCATTTTAAAGGAATTCTTAACAAGAGAAAGAGTCTTAAATTAATTGGAAAGAATGCACTATTCAAAACCCAATGATAAGAAAGGGAATGTGGGTATCCTTGAGTATATGTATGCAATCCTTTGGGAAAGGGCAAAATAGGTACAGCCTAGAATGCCAAGGATTCAAGATGTTTTCTTCTGGGAGGAAACTTGAACAGCAACTTTTGGACTCCTCTGCAGCTAGGTACAGT